ACGGCGGTACCGCGGGTTATAACCTTTGATGTTCGGTTCGATAGGTTTCCATGTAATTTCACTGTTCCCTGGTATATACAATATGTACATTTATTAATAAAAACATAGATACATTATTAGAAAAGAGAACAAAATGATGGTGGTAAAACACAATTAAATACTTTAAGATGCTCGAAAACTTACAGAATTAGCTGAGCTCACGGCTAAGTAAGTTGGATTAAGTACTGGTGTCCGAAACCCGCGGCAAGGTCTATAGATAAACTTAATGAACTACGGCAGACAGACAGACTTGTAATAAAGTTGATGATAACTTTTTAGAACTTTTGGACTAACTAAATTGTACCCCATTTATACATTTATGAACAGGATATGTGGGGAAATTATTATGACATCACCACATAACTTTATGATGAATTTACTAACTTTAAGATGAATTTGAGAATGACATCATATTCTTAAGGATGAAGTTGTAGATGACATCATTACGCAATTCAGATTCAACAGTCCCTTAACCTTATTTGGAATATTACCCAACAGGTGATTCGGCACACTTAGAGAGTGTCCCCGTCCCTTAAATAGGGGTTGGCTGTAGTGTTAAAAAATATACTGTTCCTCGTTTCACGGAAAACTATCCACTTAATAGGGTTGACCTTTGAATAGGGGTGTCCAAAAGGAGGGGTTCTACTGTATTCATAAAAATATACATCACTTTATAAAGGTATATTAAGATTCTAATAAAAAAAATAATAATTAGTAGGCTTAATAATGCGGATTAACAGTACTGTAATAGTAGTAGAAAAATTTTTTAAATGAATGATAATAGTATTAAAATAAAATTAGATATAATAATAATACTAATTAATAATAATAATAATAATAATAATAATAATAATAATAATAATAATAATAATAATAATAATAATAATAATAATAATAATAACAAGATATGATATATAATAGTAATATAAAATAATTGTGGTATCATTTAGGTAATTCTGTACCATTGAGTAATTATTGGAGTAATTTTGTCGGACTGCCCAGACTGTAGCCTCGCCCCGTAGTTAAGCTATTGTTAAATTAGGCCGTGTTCTAGTCCATGCTATGGGTTGAGGGATAAAGCTTTAATATTTTTGGTGACAGTTACTGTATGTAGGCCTAGGGCTTAATCACTAATATTAATAACTTTTGCCTGTTTTCAGAAGATGTTGGTCACTCAGTCTCAGCAGGTCTCTCAGTAAAGTGACAGTTGCGGAAATAGAAAACTGCCTGACTTTCAAAGGTGAATAAATTGTTTTTTTTAGATTTTAAGTTTAGGGGCCTACTGTACTGTAGGTTCTGATTATGAATCATACTCCAAATAGACACACTGTACTGTACTTATTACGACCATGATGGAGGCTATCTAATAAAATATAATGTGTATGTAATAGGCCTATAATCGATATCACTGTAACACCGTAATGTACTGTCTGCAAAACATTTAATTTGAAGCTGTTTTGAAAACTAAAAAAAAAAAGAAACAGGATTGGAACTGATAATTCACTTGATAGATGAAAAACTGCTAGGCTAGTCTATTATCTTAGCTACAGTACATTACTTATATCGTACTTTTATTTTAATAACTTTGATTTTGAAGGGAATTAACAGATTTTAAATTTGAGTACGAATGTTTTATATACTGTACATTTACTACTAATTCATTCTTTTCCTAAAGACACAGACAGCAAAATCACCTTAAGGCCTGTTTATACTTCAACGATAACGATAACGATAACGATAAAAAAAAAACAAACTAAAAAGCGATTGTTCATATAGAAAATAAAAGAAATAAGAGAATTGTTTACACTATGACGATTCGATAACGATTTATCGTATATACGATAACAAAATATCTTAACAAATCAAATCAGATGATGTGATAATCATAGAAAAACGATAAAATCATTGCTAATACTACGATTTTAATGGATATAGCATGAATAGAATAATATGTTTCGATATTGATTATCAAAATTAAGACAATTTAAACAAAAATAGCATTTTACATACCGGTATTTAATTAACAGAAAGACAATCTTCCCCTGCCCCTGATTTTTTTTTTTATTTTGACCTGTATAGTGTGAGTTTTCAATCACTTTTTTTTCGAAATGCCAAGGACTATGAAATGCATTTTCGAAATGCAGAGGACTATGAAATGCATATTTCGCTCAGCTCTGTTGTAAAGAATTTATTTATTTTGTATTTTTCAGCCATTGTGGAACTCCGGAAAAAAATTAATGCTAACAAGCCATTGTGATTCAATATTTCGAACTTGATTTAATCAATTGCAGAATTAATACTATCTTAAATTTTAGTAAGATTATTCATTTACCTTGTCATCAGAGAAGAAAGTGCATGGTTATGGAGAGATGCTGCTTCAATACACAAAGAATGTTGGTTTATATGCACGCCTGACGCAAACGATTCTTAAATATGGTTCTATATTGTAAACTCTAGTATCGCTTTAATATAATAACCTTATAATTATTGACAAAAATGCTGATATAAACAGGACTGTAAGCGTAACAGTAAAGACTTACGCCAAATGATATGTGAAGGGGTATGTCCCTACCCTATGAAGAACAGCTGATATTTTTAATTGAAGAAATTATGGTTTGTATATCTTAAACTCAGTATACAGGAGTCAATTCAAGCCATTGTTATTTTACAAGAAGGAGCTGGGACTAATTGAAGACAAGATAGAACTGGGACCAGCAGCTGAAGACAAGTCCAAACTGGGAACAGCTAAAGACCATTTGGAACTTGGACCAGTTGAACAGTTGTGAAAAACACAATACAGTACCCAACTAATTTTAGTGGCCTCTCTTACATTTAATTCCTATTCAGCCCTGAAAAAAAAAACAGATATAGCCCAGAATGGGCCCATAAATTATTTTTGGATAAAACCCACGTGGGTCCCAAATAAAACCATTATGCAAACCTAAGGGGCCCAAATATACCCTTTAACGGGCCCATGAACTTTATGGTACCCTTATGGATTTTGGGTGCACAAGCAGCTCATTCCCGTATGGGCCAATTTATAGTAGCCCCTTACATTTCAATCCTCAAAAAACCAAGATATAGCACATAAAGACCCCATGAATTAATTTGGTAAAACCCATGTGGGTCCCAAATGAAACCATAATGCAAACTTAAGGGGCCCAAATATATTCTTTAAAGGGCACTTAAATTTATTGGACCCATATGGATTTAGGGTGCACAGGCAGCTCTTTCCCATATAGGCCAATTTATAGGGTCCCCTTACATTTCAAACCCTTAAAAACCCAGATAGAGCCCACAATGGCCCCATGAATTAACATGTACAAACCCATATGGGTCCCAAATGAAACCGCAATTCAAACCTCATGGGACCCAAATATATCTTTTAAAGGGCCCACATTGCATTTGGGCCAAACTTTATGGGAACCTTAAAGATTTAGGGTGCAAGGCAGCTTGATCCCATATAGGCCAAACTGTAGGGGGCCCACATTTTGGTCCATGCATTTTCTATATGGGGCCCATGTTTGCTTGCTACCGGGGATGGCTATAAATAACAAGTACATGATTTTTTTTTATAAATTTTTACGTCACGAACTCTATTAAAGGTCGATCTGATTATCTCTCGTGGCTTTTTAACACAGTTACTCTATTAGGAATCATTCCATTAAGTAACCAATCTTTGATTCAGGATAAATGATTGTTTCTTGTTGGCTCTGTTCTTGATGAGTGCTCTTATTTATCCCCTCACCATAACATGATTAAAAAAAAAACAAAAACAAAAAAACGGTGAAAATTACTGATAACTGATAACTGATTTTCCTTGTCCTTATTTTCCTACCGTACACCTAGGCATATGTTATTTTAATTAGACTATAAGTGTTGTTTTTTCGTCACTTCAATATATATATATTTTTAATAAAATCTATGCTTAAACATTCACCTTCCGAAGAATGTTATATCTTTTTTTGTGTATTAAGTTTCGGCCATTCCTCTCGCCTTCATCAGCTTTACTGAGTGCACAAGATTGGCTGTTGCAAGTTGTATACTGTACAATATAAACAATACTATTGTGAGGTAGACCAAATAAAAACAAATTAGGCCTACTGTGTTGGCCCTGTCTCTTATACACATCTAGATGTGTATAAGAGACAGGGCTATTACGTGTCTATTTATGTCTTATCTAAAATTATTTAATTTTTTGCACCGTAATTTAGCTTACACTTATGCATGGAGGGAGCACTTAAAATGTACAATATTCATTTCACTACGGTACCCGACAAACCCCGAACTTTGGCATGCATTACATAAATAGTTTCATCTTGCTGTACTCCAACATCACTGGCGCATGGTAACAACCAACTGCCAGACCATTTCCGGTCACACATTTCTCTCTATAACGCAGCACCCCCTAGTTCCGTGTCCTCTGGGTATACAGTAATAATATTGAGAAGCGTCGCTTTCATTTTAGGTTTTAGAAAGGCGCTTATTTAAACAACCATTAAATTTAACATTTGGTATAATTTAGCTTAATTTCTTCAGTACTTTTAAAGCCCTTTCGCTCAGAAATTTATAGGCCAGTTTATAGAGAATAATTATGATTCTAAATAGCTTAACTTTACACAAAATTGTCCGATTAATGTCATTGAGCCCTCATTATAAAGTTAATAATGTGCTCTATTTATTAACATTAAAAAAAACATTTTGATGGAGTACGAGTTTACTAGCCCTTTTGTGGTCACATATTTAAAAGTTTGAAAAATGAATTTATGTAACTACAGACATCACGGAGTTCTTATAAACAAATAAAGGTACGATAAACTTTATAAAATTGCAACTATATTACTGCCTTATATACGTAGGACCTACATTAACAAATTTACCTATGAGTTTCCTATTGCAGATTATCTGCTAATTTATTTTTACTTACTTATTTATTTTGAAATGTAGAATATAATGCTTACAATAATTACTCCAATGGCTTGGGATGCTCCGGCAATCAAAGGCCATTCCATGTGGTTATAGCCCAGGACAGCTATACAGTCTCCTTTACAAAACCCAAGATTTAAAAATCCAGCCGCAAGATCAATAACCTTGGAGAATGAGAATTCATAGTTTCATAAGAACGAGTAACTAGTCAGTTTTACGTTGGCAGCGAAAGTGAGGGTGATGATGCCCCCCACCCCCGGCTTGACGATATTTTCTTTATCTTATTATATTTTGCTGTAGTTACGACAAGTGTGAATAATTTTAATTAGTTTTTTTATAATTTTTCCAGAGATAGTTATCTGAGGTATTGACGTTGGACAGAACTGCAACTGAAAAGGATTTATATCCAGTTGCTTCCATTCTGAGTGGACTGAGAGGAAAATTTACCAGGGATCCAGAAAAAAATAGAATCTGGGTATGGGCCATACTATATTATACTAAACTAAGATTATTAAAGACTACTGCATATCTGGAAATTGTGAGTTTGCTTACCTTACTTTTATACTCTGTAAAGGTGATTCGTTCATTGTCATCGACAAACACGTGCATTTCTCTGTCAGGATGTTTCTCTACACTTTCCTGGAGCAGCTCATGCATCGTCAATCCAATAAATGACTGGTTGCTAGGTGTATGGACGTAACTCTTGTTTCGAGCCAATGCCATTTCAAAATTCGTCTACAAAGCCCCCGTGTAAATGCAAGTGCAGTTGGTAACTCCTCACTCATACAATCCATAGGTCGAATTGCGTGTGCTACTATTCCTAAAGAGAGTGCCAATAAACAGTCCCGCCCTCTATCATAACGATATAACGGCAGCCGATAAGGTTCGGACAAAACAGATGGATTAACAAAATGTTACTGACATTGTTATGCTAAGGAGTTTAACTAATCATTATACCTTAACGCACACGGTACCTCAATACAGTGAACTGATATGTACATTTATATTAATAATAATAACATTAATATTAATAATAACAATAATAATAATAATAATAATAATAATAATAATATAAATAATATTAATAATAATAACACTAATAATAATAATAATAATAATAATAAAAATAATAATAATAATAATAATAATAATAATAGAATGGAATCAAGTTTATATACAAAAAATATGCTGTTGTTGTACCAATAAACATATTTGCAAGAAATCCTGAGCTTTTTAAACTGTCATCGACACTCATTAACACCATTGTCCACTGATCTGTCAGTCAATTTTCCTTTAAGGTGCACACATTTCTCCTGTGAGATGGCCAATTATACTGTATCATTGTTAAATAAAGTAATGAGGCAGATGTTTGTGTTGATAGCAGTCAATGAGCCAATCTAGAACTTTCCTAATTAAATCCATGACTCTGCATTCTATATGTGGAAATGCTTGACACATCCACAATTAAGCGGCCTTTATGAAGTACGAGCAGAAATGGTATTTGTCATCTGCACCACACTGTCTGCAAAGTACTTTTTTCTTGATTAATGTAGGGCAGCATGTAATTAGCATATGGCTCATACATTTCTGTAAAGAAGCTCCCTCTCAGCTATGGAGAATGACGATCTCCATTCAACATCAGACGACTCGCTACCTGAGTATCTGTAACTGGAAGAACATGACATTCAAGACCATTGACCATACCTAACAACTTCTTTGATGACCAATTTTTTAGTCTCTCTCTAGTAAAAACTTCTTTGATGACCAATTTTTTAGTCTCTCTCTAGTAAAAGAATCTCTATTTAAAGGTGGCTATAATTGGAATTTCAAACAAAATACTGTGTCCATCGGTCTTGTCTTGATGCCTATAAATTCTGAATTGACCATTTTCACTATTGAGGGACCTTGTCTCATCTCACTGTTTAGATTTCTATAAATTCCCTTTAGTGAATTAACTTATATGCAAATCATTGGTCTTCAAATATCCATTGTTGTACAATGATATATGTACTTCTGAAATCAATATCCAAAAACTCTTTGGCAACTAACTTAAGCCTCAAATGTTTAGGGCCTTGCTCTGCCAATATATGCTTCCCTCCTTTTTAGCAGGGAGAAGTTGCGTCAAACATGATGTTCAACTCACTTCAAGGTGTTGTTGGAAGACCTTAACGAACTTCAAAACAAAGTGCATCTCTATTTTCAGATTTCCCATAGCATGTGTTTAGCAATTTCCTGTTCAATCCGAGAAGCAGATTATAGCTGGTCTGCTATTGTTTTCCAGTTTAATTATTTCACTGGCATATCTATCCATTGTTAGATGTTCAAAGGCGTCAGAAGCAGTCCGGCTGGTTTGGTTTTGGCCGGACCAATAATTTACAACTCCATATCGTTTGTAAGCCAATTGGCCTACATTCTCTGACGCAAACTCTTTTTTTTTCTTTTTTTTCTTTTTTTAATAAAATTATAAATGACCTGACTTCAAGCAACAAACAAACCAGCCAACTTCGTCTAAATATAGTAGTACCCACCCTAAGCTGTCTTGATTATAGTTTGCTGAAACCTAGATGTTCTCTTGGAGACGATAGCGGTCCCCTTAAAGTTGCTGAAAAACGCAGCAACTTGTCGAAATTTACCACGTGTTTGGGAAAGGAGGCGTGGGGTGTGGGGAAAAGACGACCTTATATAGAACAAATTTGAAATTATTTCATTTTTACTGTAGTTAAGTATCAATAACTTAGGCCTATTTATCATGATTTGATTCAGCACGCAAATAATAATCTTTCGGCCCCAAAAGCTAGACTCAGAAATACCGGGATTGTGTCCGGCGGGGGATAGTTTAGATTTAGTTAACTAGAATATTTAATTAGTTCTAGTAAAATATTTCACTTGCTTCAGCAATCTTGATTTAGGCCCCGAAACCTAAAAAATACCAGTGGTTGTGTGCGGTGGGGAATAATTTCTCCTCAAAAACTATCTTAGTCCTTATTGTTTTTATTTTTATTTTTATTTATTTATTTTATTTTATTTTTTTAAAGAATTAATTATCTTATTAATTAAGAGCGTTACATGTTAAAAAGCTTTGCTTCAATTTAATTTTTTACATCTCATTTTCATATATTCATTTATTATTTTAGACATACTTTTAATTTTCTAGTCCATACATGTGACTATGAATATAATATGTAATAAATCGAAATCGAAACTAAACGATTACATTTTTAATGTATATTAAAACGGCTGTTTTTCATCATCTACTAATTAATGATTCAGTAAAGACCTACCACAAACATAGCATGTTGATAAAATTCTAAATGCTCATCCAGAGCATGACAAACTATTCATTTTCTAATTGATTGTAAAAGATAATGTAATATACCGTACCTTGTGCAACATTCATTTCATTGCATATTATACATCCATAGTCCTCAATAGGCGGTCCACTAAGCAAATTAATTGGGCCCGTAAGGAAAAACAAAATAATGAAAAAATATAATTATTTAAAACATAATATAAAAATTTCGATAAATACATTTTCAATAAATACAGAAAAATTCATTCCTTGGGTAGTGTGCACGGGGTGGTTTGAATTTAGCAAGATGATATACAGTAGGCCATAAATAGAATAAATTGCGCCAAAAATTAATCACTGGGTACCGTACTTTTCGTGGTCCTGTTCTAAACTCTGTAAACAAAACTATTAGAAAAACTCCCGAGATTGGTATAATTTTAGCTGTTCTAATTTTTTTTTATAGCAGCCCAGTGGAAGTAAAGACATTAGCATCACCCCGACATTTGTGCCGCCAAGTTCCATCTCTGTAAAGTGTTTTGTTCATTGAGATTCGTTAATAACATTTTTACTTTATAGAGAATAAGAAGCTGCTTTTCAATAGACAGTGCTCTTAATAATATAATATAATAACTTTATTGTTTCTCTTTTGTAACAGAGGCACAATCGCTGAAGAGAGGTGCTACAATAATTCACAATATAAGAGTAATAACATGTACATTTATCTTGCTATAGACATTTCTTACTTAACTAATACACTGTCTAATTAATTCTTTATCAGTATTTTGAATTTTCACTTAACTAATAATGAAAAGAAATTATAATACGCATCCCAAGAAATGAAATACACACCACCGCGCTCGACACCGTTCACGCCATTGCCAGGAATTCCTGACGATGCGTGACCAATGCCGAAACTCGACAGTGCACATTCCATCTCCCGGAGAATGCATTACACTTTCTGAATAAACTGAAAAGAAACATAAATGAAACTTAAGAAGAAACAAGAAAAGAAAAAAAAAAAGACGAAAAAAACACGATAATAATATTTTTTTCTCTCTTCCCTCCACCTCCCATTTCCTTTCCTCCCCTCTCTCTCTACTTTCCCTCCTCTCTCTCTTTCCTCTTTTTTTTCTTCCCCACTTTCACGACTTTCTTTTTTCTCTCCTCTTCTCCTCTCATCTTCTTCTCCTTTTCCTTCTTTTTTCTTCCCCCTTCCCTTTCTCTTTTTTCCTTCCTTTTCCTTTCTTTTCCAACAAATATATTTATGAAAAAGTATTATAGATTTTGTTGCGTTCTTTCCATGCTTTAGTTTTAAAAAAAATTACAATATTTGTTAAAGATCTTTCCTGCATTTCATAATTAAAATGAATTAAAATTGGGTTTGTTATAATTTGGTGTTTATAATGAATTTCAAGATCATCTAGAAAAAGGTGATACTTAAGTTCAGGGGAACCCGAAATAAATAAGTTACACACAAAATTTAGGTCATTGTGGCATAGTTCTTCTTCTCCTTTTCCTTCTTTTTTCTTCCCCATCTTCTTCCCCCTTCTCTTCCTCTTTTTTTCCTTCCTTTTCCTTTCTTTTCCAACAAATATATTTATGAAAAAGTATTATAGATTTTGTTGCGTTCTTTCCATGCTTTAGATTAAAAAAAATTACAATATTTGTTAAAGATTTTCCTGCAATTCATAATTAGAATGAGTTAAAATTTGGTTTGTTATAATTTGGTGTTTATAATGAATTTCAAGATCATCTAGAAAAAGGTGATACTTAAGTTCAGGGGAACCCGAAATAAATAAGTTACACACTAGATTTAGGTTATTGTGGTATAGTTCTTCTTGTAGTTTTTTAAAAATAGGTTCTCTAATAAATTGTTTATAATCTATTAAAAATAAAATGATCTATTGTTTCTTTATAAGTGGAGTTATATAAGAAGCATTATTCTATTTTTCTGCATTATTTCTCAAACCTAAGAGAAGAGCTTGTCTTTTAAGTGGGTAGAAATATGTTACCAATCGTTTCGCATCGTGCGTTACGGTCCCGCATTTCAAAGTGGTTTTGGTTGAAACACTCATTTTGCAGAAACACACGCGTGATCATAAATGTGTCACGCATTTAGCGCTGGTCTATGCGTGATAACAAATTACCATGAATTAAAAATTAGAAGAAATTGGTTTTAATAAAAAGCGCTTTAATAATTGAAGTACTTAATTCACTGACGCGTTACTAACAATTGATCAGTATGCCTCATTTTTTGTTTGTTTTAAGTAATGAAATGTTTTTGTACATAGTTCAGGTGCTCAAATTAAACATAATGTACATTAAAAATATTTTTGTTTATTTTCCGTACCCGGTATTGTCAACAAAC